CAAGACCATTAACAAAAAAGGAGTGGTAATTATTGTAACTTCACTGAAAATTTTTTAAATGGATAAGCTTGCCCTTTTTAAGGTGACAAGCATTGACTGGACTGATGTTTTCTCACGAATTCGTAACGCAGCTGGATATCCCAAGCCTGGTTATCTGACACATGAAGCTGTACAATGGTCTGATATTCATAAAAAATGGTTTTTCCTCCCCAGGAAGGCTTCGAAAACAATTTACAGAGAGGAAGAGGATCAGTGGAAGTTGGTATATGAGAATTTCATCTCTTTCTCTACACATCGCACTATTTTAGGGGATGCAACCTGCTAATAACCAGTTGTGCTAATCTTTGCTCGTTTAATATCACCGAAATTGAAATTATTGGCTATAGACATCCTGAACGAGGCTACTCCTCATTCGACTTTATTCCCGACACAAACGATGAACTAATCGTAGCACTCAAGTCAGAGGAAGTGGATGGCAGAAAAACCAAAAGCTTCATCACCGTTTTTAGCATCAACGGTACGGTACTTCTGAAAGATAGTAGACTTGAAGACGAATACAAATTTGAAGGCATTTACTTTGTTTAAAGAAGCAGAATAAAAGCTTGGCATTTGATTTCTTTTATGAAAATGAAACATAGAATATGAAGAACAAATGATTTTTTTGGATTCTAGCATAGATATATAGAATTGATTGATGAAATGAACTTACACTATCACCCTTTGAAGACTTCGTTTCACTCAGTAATAAAAATTTCCCAGCCATCCAAGCACATCACTTGACATATTCAATGGTATAATCGGAGGGTACCACTCCCGTGTTGAGCCAGCGCAATGCTATCCCAAGGGTGGTTTGCTGTTGAGCCGTGTGCCAACCAAAGCAGGTGGTCTCCAGTTTGGCCTCGAACTGGTCGGCAGCTAACTCATACGAGTAACGTGGAACACATGCGATTCTTACTATTCGTTCAACGTGTGCTTACCGTTTACCTTCCGCGGAGACGCACGGCTCGCATCACGCTCTGAACACAACATCGGTTGATCGCTGCATGATTGTAATGCTTCAAACGGTATCAATTAGAGATAACGGGTAAACGCTCGCTTGGTTAGAACTGCAACGAACATACCATCTATTCGAATCGGACGATAAACCGGATATAGTGAAACATGGCACTTTTAATACTTCGTAACTATATCCATATCTTATGAAGGTACGCTAAAAGTCGATAAATCCGTAATCAATATTAGTGACCTGTTTCGTTGTAAATGTGG